TGTATGTGACTTCTTGTTTTTCACGAGCTGCTCTCAGGATTCTTTGTCTTTGGTTTGGACGAGTGTGAATATGATATGCCTTGGTGATTTTCTTTTGGGGTCTCTTCTATATGGGGTTCGTTGAACTTCTTGGATGGCCGGCTTTTCATATTTCATGATATTGGGGAAGTTTTCTGTCAGCAGATCCTCAATGATCCTCTCTGTGTTTTCTGTTTCCTCCCCTGCTCTGGAATTCCAATCTCTCATAAATTTTTGCTTTTAATTGTGTCCCACATAACTCTCAGGGTCTCTTCATTTCTTTGTTCTTTTTTCTGAGTTTTCCTCAAACAGAGTTGTATCCAACTGTTTGTCTTCAACTCCACTGATCCTGTCTTCCATATCTGCTTCTCAGCCCTTCTATGACATCATCCATTTCTGAAATCTTGTTGTTTTATCTTTTGGATTTTTAATTGTTGTTTTTGTATAATTTCTAGTTGTGAGTTTATTCTGGCATTTTGTTCCTGCACCATCTTCCTGAATTCTTCGAATTTTTTGTCTGTATTTTACATGTATTTGTCTATTTTTTCCTCATGTTTGTCAGCTTTTTGCCTCAGTTCTTGGAGAATTCCAACTATTAGAGATTTGAATTCCCTATCAGGTAGTTCTAGTGCATTTTCTTCCACAGGAGAGTCATCTGGTGTTTTATTTTGGACGCCTACTGGAACCATCCTGTCCTTTTTTTGTAAATGTTTTGATATTGTCTGCTGTTTTCGGGGCATTCAGTAGTTATTTTTTCGTTTATTGACTGGATTTGTTTGTTTCGTCCCTTTTTAAAAAAAAAAAATTGACTATGTCTGAGCAGGCGGACTGTGTGTTCTTTGTTGTTTGGTCGTCTGTGCACTCAATACTTTTCGCCTCCTTCTCCAACTGGCAGGGTCAGTCACTCAGATATGGTACATCAGGGCAGGTCTAGCTGAAGAGGAGTTACTGGGATGGGTTGTTTGTGGTACTTACTACAGCCACCAGAGAGGGTCAGTAATCAGTGCAGGGCAGCTTCCAGTAGGCCGTGCCTATGCTGATTGGTGGTGTGATGTCAAGTACACGGTGCAGGTAGGCAGGATGCAGCGGGGAGATTGTTATGTGTGGAGCTAAGATGGATATGGGAGAGAGGAGAGGGGAACAGGAGCCAAAAACACAGAAACAAACAAAAAAGAATGCTAGGGGAGCTTACCGTTGGAATGGAGAGATGAGAGACGATGAAATTGAGAAAAACAGAAAGGGGAAGAGGAAGAAAAGAAAAGAATGAATAAACAGAAATCAGAAAGGTTAAAGAACTGCAAAGTTCCCAGGGATCCCACCGATGCAGCTATGAGGTCTGAGGGAGTCGCTCTCAAGTGTTGCAGTACAGCCTGGCTAGGAGGCGTAGAGGTATACAATGCCTGGTATTCAGGGATCAGAAAGAGAAGGAAGATACAGAGAGATGAGAGACTGAGCAATGAAGAAAGACAAAAAGGGAAAAAGAGGGAAAAGAAAACAAA